TTTGCTTGGCTCCACAATCAACACTCTTGGTACCAATAGTCAGGAAATCAAAAGACAACTGCATTGGGAAAGTCTGCTGTCAGACCTCTCCAAAGCACTGAAGAGCAATGATGTTAGTTTAGAGACTATGGTGCACCTGATCCAGGCCATAGTCTTTGTAATTACTAGCTATGCATCAGAAAGCTGGACAATGACTAGGGATAACATAAAGAGAATTGATGTCTTTGAGCTGTGGTGCTGGAGAAGAGTACTGAGTATATCATGGACTGCTAGGAGAACAAACAAGTTTGTCCTAGAGAGGGTGAGACCAGGCTGTTCCTTGGAGGCAAGGACTCTGAAGCTTCATCTGACATATTTTAGACATTTTGTAAGGAGGGACCAGTCCTTGGAGAGGGACATCATGCTTGGGAGGGTGGAGGGACAGCACAAGAGAGGAAGACCCTGGATGATATGGATTGATTCAGTAACTGGGGTATAGGTTAGGTGTCTCAGAGACAGTAAGAGTAGCACAATTTAGGGCTAATGTACATAGGGTCACTATGAGTCATAGGCGACTTGAAGGCACATAAAAACAACAAAAATTATCTGAAAATCTTCAGTAACCTGACAATTCTGGAAAAATTACATGAACACAAAAATCTGGAAAATGTCATTTCTCATGGTATGTCTTTCCAGAAATATCTGATTTCACCAGAGAAGAAAACAATTTTTATAGTTAAGTTCTGAGGTAAGCCTATGTACAATAGAACTACAATGAAGAATATCATACCTTTAAGCAAAGAATCAACCTGAATTTACTATTTAAATCCTGAAAGAAAAAGTAGATGGTTACATCAAAGTTGAAATCTGAATAAATACTTAATGAAAATAAAGAATAATGAAAGAGAATGCAAACTGTCAACAGTCCACAATGTGCTCTCAACTGTTCACAGACATGGAGGTGGAACTAACTCAAAGCTAATCTTCTAGTGAATCTTCAGAGGCCATAACTTGCACAGGCAGAGTCTGCTCATTTTCATCCAACAAGTCACTGGTGGACTAAAACCACCACAGGGTACAGCTTTGGCTTAGCAAGGAAATTCTATACAAACTAGGCCAGCAGACATGCCAAGTCTAAAAACTGAGACTACTCATTTAAAAATGTTTAAAGAAATTTGACGTGGCCATGGTATTCAAGTATGTAACCGTAATCCTAATACTACTTTTTACTGATTTTTAAAGTAGAAACCAATATTATCTTTCACCAGTTATAGTTTAAGCAGCAAGGCTGGATGGCAGAGTGTAGGAAAATGGGTTACAAGCAGTGTACATTTGTGCTCATTGTTAGGAGCTGTCAAGTCTAATTCATAGTGGACCTCTGCAAGACAAATTAGAATATTCTATCCTACAATATTAGCAGCTAGTAAATGGTTGACTGGAATAGAGTAAAAGTAAAAAGAAATTTAAGAGTGAAATAGGAAGCTTGTCGATTATGCTTCCAGTGGAAGGGGATGAAGATGCCACTCTCAGAGACAGGAAAAGTGATCCTGGGAAAGGAAATTAAGAATTCAGTTTTGTGTCTACAGAATAACTAATAGAGATAAATAGATATAAAAATTATTATCATCATCAATACTAAACTTTATCATAAATATAGAATCAAATTATTAGACTCAGGAGTAAGAAGAGCAGAGTAACAAAAACAGGACCTTAAATCTCTGAGAAGTATTATGGTATAATCGAAATGTACCTAACAAGTTATTTTATACTGATTTATTTACGAAGTTTGAATTCATTGTTTTTCACAAAATATTCTTCCCTTTCTCTTTCAAGCTCCCATGCATTCACTTGTGCAACTCTATGATTAACATCCCCCCATCCCAATCCCTCCTCACCCCTCTGCTTCCACCCTCCCTCACCTTGGATTCTCATGCTCATTCTAAAATAAGGGTTTTATACAATATTTGTCCTTCTTGGGAACTGACTTAATTCACTCAGCATAATGCCCTCCAGTCCTTCCCAAGTTAGGTAGTAATTTACAAAATCATTGCTCCTGCATGCTGTGTAGTATTCCATTGTATGAATGTACCATAACTTCTCATTTGTGGCTGACATCTGGCTGTTTCCATGTTTATTAGAGTGCTGGTGATACTGTGACCTAAAGGTCAGTGGGCCAAATTATAGACATGGTCATGCAATCCCTTAAAATATCTGGCTATTTAGCATGCAACTGTCTGCTCTAGCCCCAACTTACTGATTCAGAGAAGTTAATCAAAATTAGAAACAAAAGTTAAAGCCACTGTGCTTTGTTTATCTTGTTGCTGTTTGGTATGATACACCAGCAAGTCCATGACAGAAAAATTTTGCTAGTCTACTTCTATCAAGATTACACAATGGAATACTACGCACTAAGGAGCAACAATTTTGAAAAACACTACATAACTTGGGAGAGACCGGGATCATTATGCTGAGCGAATTAACTCTCATACAGGCAAATACTATATAAGACCACTGTCATAAAAAGTAAAGGATAACTAGTAAAATATATATGAGGACCCAACGGCAGAAGGGGTTACAGCAGAGGGGTGAGAATAGGTGAGGGTGAAACCACAGCTATTTTTGTGCAACAAGTGTTGCACAATTTAGTGGGTGGAGGGAGAAGGTAAAGGAAATGTGAAAGATCCTGCAGGGGCCTGAAAAGACAGGCTAATAACAACGGGCAAAGTCCAATGGTTACCAATTATATAAAACATAACGCATGAGAATAATTGTATGAACCACAATGGGAATGAAGAATAGTGTAAAACACAATGTATACAAACTTTGGAAGCAAATCAATATAAAAATTTTTTAAAAACCCAAAACTATTATGGCCCCAGAAACACTTTGAGACAGTTCTATTGTCTCCTATTGTTATGTGCCGTCGAGTTGTCTGGGACTCATAGCACCCCTATGTACAGCAGACCTAAACCCTGCTTTGTCCTGTGCCAGCCTGTCGCTGACACACCCACCTCCATTACTCCTGTCACTAAATCAATCCACCTCATAGAGGGCCTTCCTCTCCTGCGCTGTCCCTCCCTCCACCCACCCAAGCATGACATCCTTCTCCAAGGACTGGTCCCTCCTTGCAACATGTCCAAAGTATGTGAGATGAAGCTTCAGAATCCTTGCCTCCAAAGAGCAGGCTAGCTTCATCCTCTCCAGGACAAACTTGTTTGTTCCTCTAGCAGTCCATGGTATATTCAATACTCTTTCCAGCACCACACCTTAAAGGTATCAATTATTCTATAATCCCTAGTCATTGTTCAGCTCACTGATGCATAGCCAGTAATGGCAAAGACCATGGCCTGTATCCAGCACACCTTAGTTTCCAGAATAACACCACTGCATAAATTACCCAAAAACGACTATAACAGCACATCAGCAGAGAATTGCCGCAGTCCAGGCTGGCTTTAGAAGGGGTCATGGTACTAGGGATATTGTTGCTGATGTTAGATGGATCTAGGCTGAAAGCAAGGAATACCAGAAGAATGTCTATCTGTGTTTCACTGATTATGCAAAGGCATTTGACTGTGTGGATCATAACAAACTGTGGCTGACTCTGAGAAGAATGGGAATCCCAGAACATTTAATTGTGCTAATGTGAAACCTATACTTGGACCAAGAGGCAGTAGTCAGAACAGAGCAGGGTAACACTGCATGGTTCAAAATTGGGAAGGGTGTATGCCAGGGATGCATCCTGTCTCCATACCTTTTCAACAAGTATGCAGAGCAGATTATACGAGAGGCTGGGCTCTATGAGGAGAATTGTGGCATCAGGATTGGTGGAAGGTCTATTAACAATCTCCGTTATGCAGATGACACAACCCTGCTTGCTGAAACTGAGGAGGACCTCATGCACTTGCTGCGAAGGGTCAAGGACTGCAGCCTTCAGTATGGACTAAGGCTCAATGTCAAGAAAACAAAGATTCTCGCCACTGGACCAATTGGCAGCATCAGGATGGTTGACGAAGAGATTGAGAGTGTTCATAGATTCAGTCAACACTCTTGGCACCAGCAGTCAGGAAATCAAAAAGCGTATCGCGATGGGAAAGTCTGCTGTTAGGGACCTCTCTAAGGTACTCAGGAGCAACAGTGTCTCTCTGGAGACTAAGGTGCACCTGATATGGCCATGGTATTTGCAATCGCTTGTTATGCATCAGAGAGTTGGACAATGACGAGGGAGGACAGAAGGAGAGTGGATGCTTTTGAGCTGTGGTGCTGGAGAAGGGTACTGAATGTACCCTGGACTGCCAGGAAAACAAACAGATTCATCTTGGAGAGGATTAAACCAAGCTACTCCTTGGAGGCAAGGATTCTGGGGCTTCGTCTGACATACTTTGGACATGTTGCCAGGAGGGACGGGTCCTTGGAGAGGGACATCATGCTTGGGAGGGTTGAGGGACAACGCAGGAGGGGAAGACTCTCTATGAGATGGATTGATTCGGTGACTGGGGTAATCGGGATGGGTGTGTCAGAGGCGGTGCGGTTGGCGCAGAATAGAGCAGGGTTTAGGGCTGTTGTGCATAGGGTCGCTATGAGTCGGAAACGACTCGATGGCACATAACAACAACTGTCTCCCACACACGCACGCACCCAGGACATAGGAAAAGTGACCAAGTGCACCATTTCTCTTTAGCTCTTGGCTCCCTATGCCTCCTACTGCCCTCTTATAATATCAACTATTCTTCTTTTCAAGTTTTGCTACGTAGGTTTCTTGGCAGCAGCGTCAGTATTTACGAAAAGGAAGCCCGGAAACGTCTGATCAAAAGTATGTGAAAATTAAAAATAACAGCTGACAGCCCGCCCTCCCTGAAGACTACCTGCCCAAAGACTCTGACAGACAGAAAGTTGTTCGGCTGACGCCACGAGGAGTTAAAACCGACTTGCATCGAACCCACCCACTTGCCCAGCTCTCGGAGCACTACTGCATTACCCCTGGCCCTGCATCCCAGACGCTAAGATCACATCTAGTAAATTACCTCCGTGATCAGCAGTTTCTTTATCTTCCTCTTCCAGTTTAGATGCTGTAGCCTTGGCTGCCATTTTTATCTTTTTCTTCTTCTGTAGGGAGTTTTTCAGCTTTTTCCCTGCACTCACACATGAGTTCTGCACGGTCGCGGCCATTTTTCCACCAGCGGAAGTGTCACTGCTACTTCCGACAGCAAACAGCGCACGTTCACTCTTAGTTCCGGAAAGCTAAGGTTCCGGGGCGTGGTCGCCTGTCCAATCTGGGACAGGAAGTAAACAACTTTTGAAGAGAGATCTGAATATGTAAAGTGAAGTTGCTTACAGGGTAGGACAAAAGTTACTGTATGTACGAACTCACCTGATTTCTCTGCTACCTCATTTCCCCCCAAAACCCTCTGTCCAATCCAATATGACCCTCTCAACAACTCTTATCTGTCTGCCTCTTCTTCAGTTTTTTAATGCTGGTGCAGTATATTCTACATCGCGTTTACTAGTCTCCTTATCGCGCCTAATTTGTCGGGGGTCGATATTAGAAGCTACTGGAATCCAATGCAATACACAATACACAAGATCTTCTCAAAAGCATTAGATTTCCTTTGAAACAATCTTTTCAATGGTTTTCACTGGCAAACTGAATCTGTTTATGCCCTTAGATATTAAGATTTATTAAACAGACACACAGCCCTCTCCCTGTCACTGAGAGATCCCTTCTCCCGCGAGAGATTCTCACTTTGTTCAAACTCCAATACCAAGTTTTCGCAGCCCCACATTCCCTCCAAACAGGTTGTTAATAGACACGAGTTCCCTTAAAATATTGGATCTTAGGATCGAGTGAAACCAGATTTCATTCATTATTGTTCTGCCAAGGCCCTTGCGGTGTTTGTGCAGCTTCTTACCTTTAGACCATCATAGCTCCTTCACTGTTTTTTAGTTGGTTCTCATAACCAACCATACATCAGGCTTCTCAGGCTGTTAATCTTTGCAGGAAGAGAGGGCCTAACTTTCTTCAGATGACAGATTGGTGGATTTGAAGCTTTTACTTTTTGGTTAGCGGCCCATGCTTTATTCACTAATTTATCCTTTCTAACAGGAAAAAAAATGTACTTTATAGCACACAAACAAATGAAGAAATGTTCAAAATCTATAGCTCTAAGAGAGATGCAAATCAAAACAACTATGAAATATCTCATCTCACTCCAGTAAGAATAGACAAATTTAACAGAACAGCAAACAACAAATGTTGGTGAGGTTGCAGAGAAACTGGAAACCTTATTCATTGTTGGTAGGAGTGTAAAATGGTGCAACCACTGTGGAAATCAGTATGGCGCTTTCTCAAAAAGTTGCAAATAGAAATACCATTTGACTCAACAATACCACTACTGGGAATATACCCCAAAAAAACCATAACTGCCACCCAAGCAGATATATGCACATCCATGTTAATTATGGTTTTGTTCAAAATAGCAAAGAGCTGGAAACAACCTAGCTGCCCATCAACAAACGAATGGATAGAGAAGCTGTGGTATATGAAAAACAAGGGACTCATGAAATATTATTCAAAATGGGTGACCCTGGAGGACAATATGCTGAATGAAATTTCTCAGTCACAAAAGGACAAATACCACATAGTGCCTCTGTTGTAAAATGGGACTGACATCGGGGTTGGGGGAAGACTGAGAAAGATAGCATAAATTGTGTATACTGCATTGAAACAGATGAGGGAGAGAACTGTTTGAAAGGCATATATGATTAGGTATTATCGTCATGACAGAAATCCGGAATGAAGGCTGCATAGTGGAGTGGACTTAGGGGAAGGGATTGTATAACAATGAAAGAATTTTTCTTTTACTTTTCAAAGAGAAGAGTGAACTGGGAAGGTGGGAGGGGTGGGCAGGGAGAAAAGTGCAACAACGAATGAGTGGAAATCCAAAGTCTCTGTAAATTTTCATTAAAATTAATAATAATTTTTAAAAGGGGGAAAGAAATGAAAAATTTGTATTGAAGGAAAATTTACATTGCAAATATGATAACAAAAGTTTAGAATCCTGCACAAACCTTTTGAAAAGTGCACTTATCATCAACCAAAGAGGTACACCCTACATGTATCTAGCAGGTTCCCAACACTGTCTACTAGTCCTGAGCCCATTTCCCTCTGCCTTTCATATTTAGTCTTTGTGGTTGCTTATTTTTATTCCAAAGTTGGAAAAATATTAAAGAAAATTGTAAATAAAGTCAAGTGAGACTGCTTAGTTCTCCAGACGAGCCACTGGTGGAGTCCAAGGAACAACGTGGTTTCACCTTCTCTGAGACAGACTACTCTTTTCCAGTGCTACAGTTCAAAGGATCTATTCTTCTATGATCATCATTTATATGCTCTCAGATGCATAGCTAGCTATTGAGGAAAACCATGGCCTGGATCAGACACACATTACTCTCTAGAATGATATAGTTTCTCCTTACCTCTTTGGAGAGGTCCTTGACATATTTTCAAATACTATTTGTCTTTTAATTTCCTGATTGCTAATGCTGTGTAGATTGTGAGTCCAAGCAAGACGAAATTGTTAACTTCAATATTTTTTATCTACCATGATGCTGCCTATTGACCAAGTACTGAGGATTTTTGGTGGGTTTTTTTGTTTGTTTGTTTTTTTGTTTTGTTTGTTTTTTATGTTGAGCGCCAATCCATATTGAAGGCTGCATTCTTTGCACTTCTGCAGCAAGTGTTTCAGGTCCTCTTTGGTTTTAGCAAACAAGGATATATCATCTGTATAACACAGATTGTTGATGAATCTTCCAGACAGACACAGTTAAAGTCACCTATATGCTTGTATAAGCAATTTTGTAAATATTTCTGTACAAGTTGCTAATTAGCTCAAAATTCATCCTTTTTGCTTGCTCCATTTTGTCAAAATTGAGTGGGTCCTTAATGCCCCCCCCCACTTAGTCAATTTGTAGAGGGCACTAAAGATACCTGAGAACATTGGGAGTGACAAGAGATCCTGTGGGATGGACAAGCAAGAAGGGTCAAGATAGAAGAGTTATGAGTTATGATAACTGAAATTATAAAATACTTAGTGTCAAAATCTGCCTAATTTCAGGAAAATAATAGTAATCACAATGATCTCAAAGCTAATTTCTATGAGGTAGTGTGGTCAGACATTGCTCCACTTTCCAAAGTTATACCACTTCTAACATCATCCAACCTTTCCATGACACACTCTACTCTTCTGGGTTCCATAATCTAATGGGATGGCAGAATTCACACAACATGATTAAAGTTAAGTGGTTTATAATGAAAGTAATCAGATGTACCTGAAGATCAAGCTCAATAGGCCAAAACTCAGGATCAGAAAACAATAAATATTAAAGACTTCACTAACACTTTACTCCCTTTATTGCAAGATAGATGCTACAGCTCCTTTCTGTCATGCATGTTGTTATTGTTAGGTGCCATTGAGTAAAATAAGACTGATAAGAACCCTACAAACAACAGATCTGAATCCTGTCCTATCCTGTGCCATCTTCACGCTTCCTAACACACTAGAACCCATTGTGACAGTCACCACATCAACGCACCCGGTTGAGGGTCTTCCTCTCTTTCATAGCCTCCTACCCTTCCAAGCATCATGTCCCTCTTCAAGGAACAGCCCCTCCTAGCAACACGCCCAAAGCACGTGAAGTGAAGCCTCATAATTCTTGCCTCCATCAAGTACTCAATCTGTCTACAACAATGAATGAATGGAAATCCAAAGCCTCTGTAAATTTTCACTGAAATTAATAACAAATCTAAATTTTTTTAAAAAAGAATTAAGTTAGAGTAAGGATGGCAATGGATATATAACTGCTCAAGCTAATAACACTATATCGTGACATGGGGGAGGAATAGTGGAAACGTATCCACATTTACAACGTTCCTCTTACCAAAACCATTTATGGAAAATAGGCACTGCATTGGAACATATATCTCTGGATTGGAAATGATGATATTGTTAATACTTCTAGCCATAAGCTTAAAAGATTATAATGTTTAAAATTATTTGTTATACATTTGCTTAAATTTTTCCCTCTTTTAACAACTGGGATATAGAGGGAAGAGAAAAGACCAGAGAATGGCCAAAATTACTGGGGCAGCTATTGCTGCCAGTTTAGGGCCCGTGTCAGGAAAAGGACGTCTTACACATATGCAGTGCCACCCAAAGGTAATAAAGGAGGTCAGAATTGCTTCCACTGTGGAAAGCTGGGCCACTTCAGTAGACAGTGTCACAGATGAGAGCCACAGATAGGCAAGGGAGTAGAGAGGAAGCTCCCACTCACTTACATTAAGTGTGGCTCTGAAGGACACTTGGCCAAGGTGGCCCACATCAGGTCCTCGTGGCAGGCAGGACTGACAGGCCCCAGCACCCAGCTGGAAATAAAGGAGGACGCTTCAACGATTTAGATCCTCCCAGAAGAGCTGTGGATGAGGATTAACATTACTGGTAAGTATATTCATTTTCTCCTGGACACAGAGCCTACTAATTGGTCCTAAAAGCCTTCTGAGGTACCAACTCTTCTCACTATCTCTTAGTTGTTGGAATGGACAGAAAACCTCATAAGCAGTTCCTTACTTCACCTCTACCTTGTATGTGAACTCCCAAGTTGTAAAACAGCCCAGTGGTAGATGGAATTTGCTCCAGGACTTAAGAAGCAGAAATGACATAGCTGAGCCTCTACATCTTGTGGTTCCTAACCTGTACACTATAATAGACAAAGTGCTAGTCTATAGGCCTTTTATTGTAAGAACCACCTTCCCTCTGTAACTTGATTTGTGCCACTACTAGAACCTCTACTCAGAATACTATTGCTTGTTAATTTTTTACTCATGTACTTTTAACTTGTTAGTTAAATTTGTGTCTTCTAGGTTGCAACACCTCCATGATACACCTTCAACACCTTCAAGGATATGAACATGTACAGCTAAGCACAATTGATAACAGTGCATCTAAATTCCAAAATCAATCTCCATAATAGTCTATGTGGTTCCTACTGCCAAAGGGGCCCTTTAGAGTAGTGAGAGAAGATCTCAACTCTGAAATCCACAGTGTCCCTTTTCAGCAGGAAGTAGCTAAGAGAATACGCCATCCCCTTTTCCTTATCAATCAGGGTGAAGTCTCTCT